GTATCACCAGTGGAGGCTCCAGAACAGCAAATATGGCAGAACAGCAAATATTGTTGCCTGATTGTTCCTCTGGAAGCTTTGTCTGAGAGGGGCACCTAGCCGTGTGAGTTGTCAGTCGGTCCCTACTGAAAGGTGCCTCCCAGTTAGGTTACTCAGGAGTCAGGGACCCGCATGAGGATGCAATCTGTCCATTCTCAGATCTCAAACTCCATGGTGGGAGAACCACTACTCTCTTCAAAGCTGTCAGACAGGGACATTTAAGTCTGCAGAAGTTTCTGCTGCCTTTTGTTTAGCTGTGCCCTGCCCCCAGAGGTGGAGTCTACAGAGTCAGGCAGACCTCCTTGAACTGTGGTGGGTTCCAACGAGTTTAAGCTTCCTGGCTGCTTTGTTTACCTACTCAAGCCTCAGCAATGGCAGGCGCCCCTCCCCCACCCTTGCTGCCACCTTGCAGTTCCATCTTAGACTGCTGTGCTAGCAATAAGTGAGGCTCCGTGGGCGTGGGACCCTCCGAGCCAGGTGTGGGATATAATCTCCTGGTGTGCCATTTGCTAAGACCACTGGAAAAGTGCAATATTAGGGTGGGAGTGACCCGACTTTCCAGGTGCCATCTGTCACAGCTTTCCTTGGCTAGGAAAGGGAATTCCCTGACCCCTTGTGTTTCCTGGGTGAGGCGATGCCTTGCCCTGCTTCAGCTCTTGCTCGGTGGTCTGCACCCACTGTCCTGCACCCACTGTCCGACAAGCTCCAGTGATATGAACCTGGGACCTCAGTTGAAAATGCAGAAATCACCCGTCTTCTGTGTCACTTACTCTGGAAGCTGTAGACTGGAGCTGTTCCTCTTCAGCCTTCTTGGAACCCCATCCAGTCTGGGCAACATTTTAAGCCTCAGTCTCTACAAAAACAAATTTTAAATTGGCCAGGTGTGATGTTGCATGCCTATAGTGCCAGCTACTCAAGAGGCTGAGGTGGAAAGATCACTTGAGCCTAAGAGATTGAGGCTGCAGTAATCCATGATTCAGCCACTGCACTCTAGTCTGGGTGACAGAGTGAGACCTCTCTGTGTGTGTGTGTGTATTATATATAATTTATTATAAGGCTGGGCACAGTGGTTCATGCCTATAATCCCAGCACTTTGGGAGGCCGAGGTGGGAGGATCACCTAAGGCTGGGAGTTCCAGACCAGCCTGAGCAACATGGAGAAACCATGTTGAGCTAACTAAATTAAGAAAACTAAAAATACAAAAAAAATTAGCCAGGCATGGTGGTGCATGCCTGTAATCCTAGCTACTCTGGAGGCTGAGGCAGGAGAATCACTTGAACCTAGGAGATAGAGGTTTCAGTGAGCCGAGATTGTGCCATTGCACTCCAGCCTGGGTGACAGAGTGAGAATCCGTCTCAAAAAAAAAGAAAAAAAATTTATTTTAAAAAACAATGTGTATGTTAAAAAAATTTCAAGCACAGAAAAAAATGAAAGACCATGGGGGTGGGGGGATGTGAAGAAAGGTGAGTGTGGGCTGGGTGTGGTGGCTCACACCTGTAATTCCAGCACTTTGGGAGGCCGAGGTGGGCGGAAATTGCCTGAGGTCAGGAGTTTGAGACCACCCTGGCCAATATGGTGAAACCCCATCTCTACTAAAAATAAAAAATTAGCTGGGCGTGGTGGTAGGCACCTGTAATCTCAGCTACTTGGGAGGCTGAGGCAGGAGAATTGCTTGAATCCAGGAGGTGGAGGTTGCAGTGAGCCGAGGTCGCACCACGCACTTCAGCCTAGGCAACAAGAGCGAAACTCCGTCTCAAAAAAAAAAGAAAAAAGAAAGAAAGAAATGTGCGTGTGGCTCCTGAAACTCAGTGAGACTTCGTTTTCTATTTTGAAAAAATGCTCATCCACACAGGAACCATAACCTAACTCATGCCAATTCTCTCTCTCTCTCTCTCTCTCTTTTTAATTTTATTTTTTTTGTTGAGACAGGGTCTGACTGTGTAGCCCAGGCTGGGGTGCAGGGGTGCAGTCTCAGCTCACTGCAACCTCTGCCTCCTGGGTTCAAGCGATTCTGTCACCTCAGCCTCCAAAGCAGCTGGGACTGCAGCCGCCCACCATCATGCCCGACGAATTGTTGTACTTTATGATAGAGATGGGGTTTCACCATGTTAGCCAGTCTGGTCTCAAACTCCTGACCTCAATAATCTGCCTGCCTCAGCCTCCCATAGTGCTGGGATTTACAGGCATGAGCCACCACTCCCAGCCACATGCCAATTCTTACACTAAGCCTGCTGACATACCACTATTTACCCATTTTTAAAGAAAATTGAGGCTGGGCGCAGTGGCTCATGCCTATAATCCCAGCACTTTGGGAGGCCTAGGTGGGCATATCACCTGAGGTCAGGAGTTTGAGCTCAGCCTGGCCAACATGGTGAAACCCTGTCTCTAATAAAAACACAAAATTAGCCGGGCTTGGTGGCACGTGCCCGTAACCCCAGCTACTCAGGAGGCTGAGGCAGGAGAGTCACTTAAATCCAGAAGGCGGAGGTTGCAGTGAGCCGAGATGGTACCACTACACTCCAGCCCACACAACAAGAGTGAAACTCTGACTCAAAAAAAAAAAAAAAGAAAGAAAGAAAGAAAAGAAAAATTGAAATATTTCACCTAAAAAAAAAAACATGGAGGAGAAAAAGAGGATTTGACATTTAAAGCCTTTATTTCCTTTATAAAACCATAGCCCCTTGTTATTTGATCTGTCCAAAGGTGTCTGACAGCACTAATACACTTAAGGATCAATCGGGAAAAATGGGCCTCTTGGGTGACAAGGAGTTACAATGGTACCTAAACCCAATCCGTTCTCAGCTTTACATGTTGTCCCCCTCAAGAAGTGGTGTTCACCATATGAACCGTATTCACCGGATGAGGCCAGGGGAAAGCATGTTTAGGACAACACAACCATGAGGCTGCAAATCAAACTGGGGGCAGGAAACATGCAAGAGGCTTCCATGGCCAAGACACTGATATCACTTAAAACTTCAGGGTGAAGGGCATCTTTTCCCAGTTGGCTCAGAGGAACTAACAGACATCAGGATTGGAATTTGTTTGTTTTTTGTTTGTTTTTTCAGAATTTCTAAGACATGAAGGACTCTCCAAACACTCCAAAGGGCATTTAGCTATACATGAGGCTAATTGGCCAGGTGTGGTGTTGCATGCCTATAGTCCCCGCTACTTGAGAGGCTGAGGTGGAAAGATCACTTGAGCCTAAGAGGTTGAGGCTGCAGTAACCCATAATTCAGCCACTTCATTCCCAGCCTGGGTGACAGAGTGAGATGTACATGTGTGTGTATGTGTGTGTGTGTCTGCTCTGGAGAGGGATGGCTGAGCAGCAGCCACCAGCTATAATAGCTGTGAACTCCCCTCTTTTAGGGTCACGCCACCTCCACACACCCCTTCTTATTTCACAGGCTTTGTCTCTGAGGTCTACCTGGGATATTGCCTTTCTCCCATGTCATTAGCTCTCCAAAAGAGCCTAGCGTGCTCTAAAACCTACCATAGAATGGCAAATTGTAGACCGTCCTTCATTCTCCCAGCACAGTGGGACTTCTGGAGAGTGCTGCGTAATTCCCTTACCTCAACTCACCTGACAAGCGCAAGTGCCTTGGCAGTGAGATGTTCAGTGACCTAACAGGTCCAGCATGCCCAGGGCTTAGCCCCACAGTCTAGCATCTCTCCTCCACCTGGCCTTCCCTCCAGCCGTTTTTTTTCTTTTTCTCTTCTCTTTTCTTTCCTTTCCTTTCCTTCCCTCCAGTCTTTTTTCTTTTTCTTTTCCTTTCTGTTCCGTTCCTTTCTTTTCTTTCATTTTCTTTTCTTTTTCTTTCTTTTCTTTTCTTCTCTTTCTCTCTCTCTTTCTGTCTTTCTCTCTATGGCACGATCTCACTGCAAGCTCCGCCTCCCGGGTTCACGCCATTCTGCTGCCTCAGCCTCTCCAGCAACTGGGACTGCAGGCACCTGCCACCACGCCCGGCTAATTTTTTTGTATTTTTAGTAGAGAGGGGGTTTCACTGTGTTAACCAGGATGGTCTCGATCTCCTGACCTCGTGATTCGCCCACCTTGGCCTCCCAAAATGCTGGGATTACAGGTGTGAGCCACTGCGCCCGGCTTTCTCTCTTTCTTTCTTTTTTTTTTTTTTTTGAGACGGAGTCTCGCTCTGTCGCCCAGGCTGGAGTGCAGTGGCCCGATCTCAGCTCACTGCAAGCTCCACCTCCCAGGTTCACGCCATTCTCCTGCCTCAGCCTCCCGAATAGCTGGGACTACAGGCGCCCACCGCCACGCCCGGCTAATTTTTTGCATTTTTACTAGAGACGGGGTTTCAACGTGTTAGCCAGGATGGTCTCGATCTCCTGACCTCGTGATCTGCCCGCCTCAGCCTCCCAAAGTGCTGGGATTACAGGCGTGAGCCACCGCACCCGGCGTCTCTTTCTTTCTTAGATATAGGCTCGCTCTGTTGCCCAGGTTGGAGTGCAGTGGCACGATCTTGGCTCACTACAACTCCGCCTCCAGGGTTCAAGCGATTCTCCTGCCTCAGCCTCCCAAGTAGCTGGGATTACAGGCTCATAACACCATGCCCAGTTAATTTTTGTATTTTTAGTAGAGATGGGGTTTCACTCTGTTGGCCCGGCTGGTATCGTACTCCTGACCTTGTGATCAGCCCACCTTGGCATCCCAAAGTGCTGGGATTACAGGCATGAGGCACCACGCCTGGCCTTAGCCTTTTTTCTTCTGTCACCAATGACAGGTGACATTCACCTGTGCCACACTCTCATGAGCCTAGGAAGTGGTGTGGGTAAACCCCAGCTGAGTCCCTGTGACTCCACACTCTTACTTCCCACTCAAGTGGCATTATAAGCATAACCTTAAATATGATCTAATTTATACATATTTCTGTCTTAGCAACATTTCTGACAACAGCCCTCACAATCAAATCAGACTGGGTTACAAAACACATGGGTGAGGCTGGAGCAGCAGTTTATAAAAACCTACTTTATTCTAATGTGATATGAAAATATGATGGATTAAAAACAAGAAAATGTTATTAATCAGCTGTGGGGATGCTCCACTTGCTAGCTCATGGCCACTCCCTTTAAAACAAGATATCTGGGCAGACCATATTCATAGATAGCAGAAGCCCCAGTCAGACATAGCTCCCTCAGGCTCACAGGGTGGAAACCTCCTTCTCCATGTTAGGGCTCTGACAGCAGGCAAGAGAAGGAGCACAGGCAGGTGGGGACAGAGAGCAGCCTGGGCCTATAGGGATCCCCAACTACCCACAGAGCTAGTCTCTATCTGAGGGGCTGTGTGGCCAGGACCAGGTAGGAAGCTGGGCTCAACAGAGCGGTGACAACCACTCCTCTATCTTTAACATTCCCCCAGGATTCATGATTCAGCCCTGGTTCTCCCCAGGTCCCAAACCCACTCTACCCTCAGTGTGTGTTAGGGAGGTCTGGTTAAGACAGGGAGAATAATACATTCAGATTGTAGCCTCCAAGGTATTCCCATCTGGGGTGCAGGGAGTAGGGAGGTAAGTCAGAGCCTGTGGTGGTGCCTTTTTGCTGGGTCTGAGGGCAGTCAGGTTAGGTCTAGGCACATGGATGTCTGGGAGACCACCACGGCTGACACCCTCCCCGTCACCCAGAGTTACAACCAGGCCAGGCCAATCACAATTAAACTCACTGCAGTTCTCATCCTGCCACAAAATTAAGTTGTACCCAAACCCCTAGCCCTACCACAGGTCTCTGACCTTCCATCCCAGAATACAAGGAGACCCTCCATCTTTTTTACCTAAAGCCTGAACTTCAAACCAGGTTGGGCCTGTGGGTAGTGGCAGCAAAAGCCGCAGCCATAGTATGAAGCATACAAATAACCTGAGAAATCCCAGTGCTGGGATTACAGGTGCGAGTCACTGCGCCCGGCTCATAAATGTGACTTTTAAATGTTGACGTTTATATTTGCTTTTTCTGCATTTTGTAGAAATAGTGTTTTCTAGCATCTGTGTCTCTGTAAAATAAAAGACAAGAGAGCATGTAATCAGGATTAGTTGAGAATGCAAATTAACAAAATAATGTTGACAGAGATTATCTATTTGTGGTCTACCAGGGCATAAAAATCTCAAAAAACATGATCAGTAGAAAATGTGTATGTGCCTAAATATTAGAGAATGTTGCTTGTGTTAAAAACTCTGCCTTTCATGCATTTAAGAGAGATAAAGTTAAAGGGCAGAGCCCTTCCCTGATCCTTATCAGGACAGCTGAAGTATAAATGATATATTTCTATTTTCTCTCAAATTCCATATTGGACACAGTTACTCTGTTTCTAATCTATATGTCACAGTGATGCACAGAGACACTAACATAAAAGAAATTGCAAGCTTTAAAAAAGGTGTTGGCAGGTGTAGTGGCTCATGCCTGTAATCCCAGCACTTTGGGAGGCCCAGACAGGCAGGTCATGAGGTCAGGAGTTTGAGACCAGCCTGACCAACATGGAGAAACCCCGTCTCTACTAAAAATACAAAAATTAGCTGGTGTGATGGTGCACGCCTGTAATCCCAGTTACTCAGGAGGCTGAGGCAGGAGAATCACTTGAACCCGGGAGGCGGAGGTTGCAGTGAGCCGAGATCGCACCACTGCACTCTAGCCTGGGCGACAGAGCAGGACTGCATCTCAAAAAAAAAAAAAAAAGTGTTATATTTTGCACGTGTGTGTGTGTGTGTGTGTATTTTTAGAAAGCTCTGTCATCTTGGCCAGAGTTTAGTGTCACAATCATTGCTCAATCCAACCTCAAATTTCTTAGCTCTCAGCCTCCTTAGTAACTGGGACTACAGGTACACACCTCTACACTGGCTAGTTAAAAAAAATTTTTTTGTAGAGATGGTGTCTCATTATGTTGCCCAGGCGGGTCTCAAACTCCTGTCCTCAAGTGATCCTCCCACCTTTACCTACCAAAATGCATGAATTACAGACATGAGCCACAGTACCTGACCCCTATATGACCTTTAATTTTTTTTATTCTGTTTTCCCATGTTTGTAACATGTTCCATATTACAGTGTTTCTATGGTAGATGTGGCAGATTCACCAAATAAAAATACAGAAGGCACAGTTACATTTAAATTTGGAATAAACAGCAAATAACTTTTTAGTATAGCTATGCAATATTTACATATTGGTGTATAATACATGTAAACAATTATTGGAATATATTTATACAAATGACAACTTATAATTCACCTTAAATTCAAATTGAACCAAGTGTATTATATTTTCTTTTTCTTTTTTATTTTTTTTTGAGACAGAGTCTTGCTCTGTTGGCCAGGCTGGAGTGCAGTGGTGTGATCTCGGCTCACTGCAACCTCCACCTCCCGGGTTCAAGTGATCCTCGTGCCTCAGCCTCCCGAGTAGCTGGGACTACAGGCATGTGCCACCACGCCTGGCTAATTTTTTGTATTTTTAGTAGAGATGGGGTTTCACCGTGTTAACCAGGATGGTCTTGATCTCATGACCTCATGATCTGCCCGCCCTGGCCTCCCAAAGTGCTGGGTGAGCCACCGTGCCTGGCTTATATTTTATTTTTCCACCCTCTTGATGGGAACCATTGTTCTTTTCTCCAGACTCAGCATCAGTGACCTGAAAAGTTTCATTAAAGAGAAAAAAGTTTGATAATCAGCAGATATACTTTTTTGCAGTATGTGGTAGTCATTAGAGAGTGTGTGGCATAAATTAAAGTGTGTGATCTGAATGCCTTATGATGAGAAAATAAAAAATAGAATTCTTACCTATGCTGTTTTATCTAATTGTATTATCTCTTTCTGGGATATGACTTACAATATATGCAGTATAGGCTGGGCTTGGTGGCTCACACCTGTAATCCCAGCACTTTGGGAGGCTGAGGTGGGCGGATCACAAGGTCAGAATTTCAAGACCAGCCTGGCCAACATGATGAAACCCTGTTTCCACCAAAAATATAAAAAATTAGCTTGATGTGGCATGCACCTGTAATCCTAACTACTTGGGAGGCTAAGGCAGGAGAATCGCTTAAACCTGGGAGGTGGAGGTTGCAGTGAGCCAAGATCACGCCACTGTACTCCAGCCTGGGCAACAGAGTGAGGCTCCATCTCAAAACAAAACAAAACAAAACAAAACACTAATATATGCAGTATATTAGTAAAGTGATTAGTGATTTCTAAATAATTACTAAGTAGTTATTTATAAAATAATATTCTGTGTTCGAGTAAAGCAGAATTTGAAAGGAGAAAAACCTGAGTTCTTCCCTGTACTGGGTTGACTCACTCCAAGGGCCTGCTAGGGCTAAGATAATGTTATCTGCAAAGCCAGGCAGAGCCCAGAAGGAATGGACTCCAGAAACAGGGATAAGAATAACAAGTTCTTTTCAGCTTCCCTCTCTTGAGACTCCTTACGAGACCAGCATTTCTTTGCTCTGCTCTCGTTAACTATTTCTGTAAGTTTATAAAGATTTTGTAAGTTCCTATTTTCTATCGGTGCAACACTGCGAAGGTCACAAGACATCCCTGAGCAAACCTAAGATGGTGACCATCTGCTGAGAGTCTGCTGAGCAGCCCAGCAGAGGTCACTAGACATGTTTGAGTCACATATCTTTCACTGTTTGATTAACTGCCTTTGTTCTGCTTCTGTAAGCTTGCTAAGACTGCCCTGTGAGTTTCACGCACCTGCATGCTTAAAAACCAGGCCCCATCTTTGTTCGGGGCTCAGCCTTTTTGATGTGAATCCACTGAGCCAGTGGCCACTTTAATGAAATTCTTTTGTCTCACCTGATTGGGTCGGTCATTCTCCTGAATCGAACACAACGATTGCTTTTCTTTTTCTTTTTTTTTTTTTGAGACGAGAGTGCTCACTCTGGTCACCCAGGCTGGGTACAGTTGGCACGATCTTGGCGTCACCGTGCAACCTGGCCTCCCAGGTTCCAGCAGATTCTCCTGCTTGGTCTCCCAACGTAGGCTAGGGACGTAGCAGGCATGCACTACTAGCCTATTTTTTTTTTTTTTTTTGAGACAGTCAGTCATCACTTTGTCCCCCAGCTGCAGTACCGTAGGTGCAATCTCGGCTCACTGCAGACCTTCCCCTCCTGGGTCAAGCATTCTCTGCCTCAGCCTCCCCGAGTAGCTGGATTACGGCACCCACCACCACACCTGGCTAATTTTTGTATTTTTGGTAGAGACAGAGTTTCACCATGTTGGCCAGGCTGGTTGCGAACTCCTGACCTCAAGTGATCTGCCTGCCTTGGCCTCCCAAAGTTCTGGGATTACAGGCATGAGTCACCATGCCCAGCCTTTTTTTATTTTTAGTAGAGACAGGGTTTCACCATTTTTGCCAGTCTGGTGTTGAACTCCTGACCTTAGGTGATCTGCCCACTTAAGGGGTTTATGTGTCCTGAGCAAGGCAGTGAGAAAAATAGCTCAGAGCAGTCTCAGCTCTTTGAGTTCTGCACAATTTATCAAGCCTAGAGAGATGAGACTATGAGACTTCAATCTTACCCCACATCTGTGCACAGGGGCAATTGTTTAAAGACATTTTGTTTCTGACTAGTTGCCTCAACCATTCTTTCTTTTTTCATAAAATATATAAAAACAAAGAAATATATATAGCCAATCAATACCCAATCAATTTACCAATAATTTTAATGTCAGTTCTTGGTAAACAACTTAGAAACTGCCTTTGCATTGTTTCAAAAAAGACCGGCTTGTAATGGCTAGTAATTGGAATATATATTCAGGGCTACTTAAATGTGTTATTTGGTGGCCATCCTTAAAATCTGAACTTAAATAGATTATTTTCAAACTAGATTCTGACCTTTTTTATTATTTTAGGTTAAGTGGGGTCTGGCCTGGAATACTCTCCTAGATGAAAATAGCCCAACCATGAGCCACCTTCTCAGCAGATGAGATGAAATTAAAGCTCTTCAACTCCTCAAGACCCAGAGACTATCACAAAAGAGGTGGGCATGTGAGATTGTAAGAACTGATTTTGAGAGATAAAATAAGTTCTGTTTTTCTGTAAATTAATCATTAATGTCAAAAGCACACTGATGTAAGACCAGAATAGGGGCCCCAGTGTTAGATTAACAAGGTTTTCTTGAAGCATTAACCAACTCCTTAATAAAGGCTTATAGAAGTTATATCTTATGGTCAAGGTCAGATTTTTATAGATTGTTCATAACATTTTGAAAAACAAATTTAATTGGCTTTATGCTGTTTTATTGGAGATTATCATTTGGAAAATTAAGTCTTCTCTCCCAAAGAATGTTTTTTTTTTCCTTTTTTGTTTTTGAAATCTTTATCACTTTGGTCAAATTAATGACTTATTTTACAATGACCTATGACATCAAGTGTTTTAAACCTTTGATATTTGACTGAGATTCTTTCTGTGGAACAAAGTTCCATCAAACTTTCCAAAATCAAATTATAAATTATGTATTTTTCTTACCTAATTAATCCTTTAAAATATTATGTCCCTAACATTTAAAAATGACATAATTTTGCTTATTTCTTTTCTTTTTTTTTTTTTTTTTTGAGATGGAGTTCCACTCTTGTTGCCCAGGCTGGAGTGCAATGGCGTGATCTCTGGCTCACCGCAACCTCCGCCTCCTGGGTTCAAGCAATTCTCCTGCCTCAGCCTCCTGAGCAGCTGGGATTACAGGCATGTGCCACCATGCCCAGCTAATTTTGTATTTTTAGTACAGATGGCATTTCTCCATGTTGATCAAGGTGGTCTTGAACTCCTAACCTCAGGTGATCCACCAGCCTCAGCCTCCCAAAGTGCTGGGATTACAGGCATGAGCCACCGCACCCAGCTTTATTTCTTATAAAAATTATACAGAGAGCATTGTTGAATATGAAATGTTGTTTGTTTTTTTTTGGGCTGTGTTTGTATAAATATATTATTGATATTTGTTCCAAAATCATGGGAAACTCCTATAATTCTTATATGACTCAGTGTACATTATTAGCAGTAATTATAATTATGTTAAATTATTGCCACAGAGGTAACAAATTTCCTTGTCAATTGTGTCTTTGACTTTGGTTGCCTTAAGACTTTTTGTCATTAACAGACAATTGTTGTATTGTTTTGGTCCTCTTTAGAAGGTGGTTTTATAATCAGCTATAAAACTCTAACAGGTGTTCTTGAATGCAAGTTTCTAATAATTTGGAGATTGTGACATCAGAGTAGAGGAAAAAAATTCAGAACTCATGGAGAGCTGAAGTGTTCATGAATATGAAGCAGAACAAGGATTAAGTGCATGCACTGAACTAATAGAAGACTGAAGTAATCTTTTTTCTTTTTTTGAGTCGGGGTCTCACTCTGTCCCCCAGGGTGGAGTCCAGTGGTGTGATCTTGGCTGAATTACAGATGCATGCCACCACGCCCAGCTAATTTTTGTCTTTTTAGTAGAGATGGGATTTCACCATGTTGATCAGGCTGGTTTCAAACTCCTGACCTCATGATCTGCCTGCCTCGGCCTCCCAAAGTGTTGGGATTACAGGCGTGAGCCACCATGACCAGCCTGTATTTTTGACTTTTTACTTAAAATGTTGCTGATCCTTTCTTTTGTTTTCTGAGTCAAGGAAACCTACCTTTTGATCTATTTACAGCTTTTAACAAGTTAGTATACTCCTGTGAACAAAATTTAAAGCATATTTGATTCTCTCTACTTGATTTCTCTACTTGATTTCTCTATAATTTGGAAACTATTTGTGAGTATTCTTAACTTGTGGCAATACATTTATTTGCATAAGTGCAATAAGAATCTTTTTTTTGTTGTTTGTTGTGTTATTTATTTATTTTTTGAGACAGAGTCTCACTCTGTCACTAGGCTAGAGTATGGTGGCACAATCTTGGCTCACTGCAACCTCTGCCTCCCAGGTTCAGGTGATCCTCCTGCCTTGGCCTCCCAGGTAGCTGGGACTGCAGGCGAGTGCCACCACGCCCAGCTAATTTTTTATATTTTTAGCAGAGATGGGGTTTCCCCATGTTGGCCACTGTGGTCTTGATCTCTTGACCTCATGATTCGCCTATCTTGACCTCCCAAAGTGCTGTGATTACAGGCATGAGCCACCATGCCCTGCCAAGAATCTGGTTTTTATAAGTAACAGGACACAATTGGAGAAACTGGTTATTTTAGTAACACTTTGACTGGAATGATGTTCTTTTTTTAAGGAATCAAACTTGATTTATGGAACCAATTAAAAGCCCCTTGGGAAAACTGGATTCAAATCTCGTCTACATAGTCCCTGTACTATGATATTTTTACTTACCACAGGTCAGGATTTCTGTAAGTAAA